AGAGAGAGAGAGAGAGAGAGAGAGAGAGAGAGAGAGAGAGAGATGAACAAGTCAATTTTGCTTGTGTAGAGCTCAAAAATAAAAATCTCCTTTAAAACTTTAGATTTTGAATAGACATTACCAAATTCACCTGACAGAACACACACACCAGCCCAGAGTCCACAGTGGGGAAAAGGGGGGAATTTCAAGGACCTAATCTACAACATTACATGTGTCCACTGCTGCCTCTTGCACACTAGAAAATGCTATTGTGAAAAATGTGTATTTCAGATCCATCCCTAACATTACTGATGCTTTCTTGAAAAGTGTTTGCAGCCTGGAAACAAGTTTTTCTACCTAGGAAGGAAGAAATGATTTTGAATATTAAGGAAACATTTTTTCTCTTCATGACTATGGTTGGCACTCTGGGGCACATTTCTGTTTCTGTGAATTATATGATAAGTTCATTGGAAGGCCTTGAGAAGAAACCCATACACCTTATTCTCATCCACTTGAGAAGAAACCCATGCACCATATTCTCATCCACTTGGCTTTTACAACACCATAATCCTTCTTGCAAAAAGATTACCAAAGACAATAGCAGTTTCTGGTTTAATAAACTTCCTAGATGACATAGGCTGTAAGACCCTTATTTACCTGGAGAGGGTGGCCTGTGGAGTTTCCATCTGCACCAGCAGTCTCCTCACTGTGGTCCAGGCCATCATCATCAGTCCCAGAGCATCTGGGTGGAGGAGGCTCAGACCAAAGTCTGCATGGCACATTCTTTTCTTTTGGATACTCAATGCTTTAATAAGTATGAACCTAATCCATTCCATCACAAGCACAAATCTGAATACATCACATCTGAAGAGTGTATACAACTATTGTTATTTAATGCTAGAAAGTCAGAAAACAAAGTGGATTGTTCTCCCTCTCATGGTCCTGAGAGATGCTATGTGTTTAAATATTTGGGTGCATCATGGATTTATCTTACAATGATGAATATGTATTTTCTTTTGCTTGCACTGTATACACAAAACTTTTAAGTGATCTGTATTGTACTGTGTTATAGTTTATTAAATAGTTTGTTTATACGATTTATTTTTATTTGTGTGTCTAAATGAGTTTGTGCCTCATTTTTACAGGTGCTCACACAGAAGTGGACATTGTGTCCCTGGAAGCTAGAGCTATAGGCAGTCATGAGTCCTATGATGCAGATGTTGAGGACGAAGGGCCTCAAAAAGAGGAGCAGGGCTCTTAACCATCCCTCCAGCTCCTTACCTTTGTAACAAATGTGACTTGTTTGTGGTTAACATCTACTGCTTCTGTTAGTCTCATAGCTCTGTGAAGGTCTTTTTCTAAGTAATCTATATAAATGACCAGACTAATGAACACTTTCTAAGTCAGTCTGTGCAATTTGACTCAAAAAGAAGTGATGTAAAAACATGGCGAATGAGTAAAGAAAGATCTATTTAATCTGATCATGAAATGATTGTTCAACATTAAGAATATACACGGGGTTTTAAAATAATAAAAAGGGATAGACAAGAGTTATTTAATTGCTGACACTGCATGACCATGGATGGCCTGGACTTAGGTAGCATACAAAGTTGTTCCATTCAATTTCTCTCTAAAAGCCAGAGTATATTCAGAAACAATAAAAGCTTGATCAGAACATAAATTAAACGTTTGATACATGATGAAAATCCTAAATAAGTAGAGGATAGTGAAGGCAACCTGGAAATGGTATTCAATTATGCTCTTTCAGGTAAAGCACATGGATTAGTATAAATAACTTCATCATTTCCTCATGCTGGACACATTGCTTATCACTGCACAGTCCCGTGGGATATAATGCTAAATGAAATAAGTCAGCTGCATGAAGACAAATACCACATGATTTTAATAAGTGGGACCTAAATACAAAAGAAGCAAAATGGAGTAGGGCTGGTTCCTCACCTAACCACACAACTTAAGTTCTTTTTGAAAAACAAACCAAAAACCCAATACAACAACAAAATCCATAAAACACAATACACACACACACACACACACACACACACACACACACACTGTAACTGAATAAAACCACACACCCCTCACTGCCCCCCATCAAAAAAAAAAAAAAAAAAAACCTGTGGAGTCCATTATCTGTTGGTCAACCACTCCTGAACATGAAACCAGCTCTGGATTGGCTATTACATACACCACCTGTCATTCCATTGAAGAAACCAATCCTTCCTCTCCCAGCAAGTACAAATGACAGTTCAGCTGTTAACCCTCACCCTCATGGCTAGACCCTCATTCATTCCTTTTCAAACATAATAAAATAAAATATAATAAGACAAAATGAAAACCATCACATCTAAGTTAGATGAGACAAACCAACAGAAGAAAATGAACCCAAGAGAAGGCACAAGAATCAGAGACCCACTTGTTCGCACACTCAGGAATCCCATAAAAACACTAAACTGGAAGACGTGACGTAAGTGCAGAGGACCTGGTGCAGACCTGTGCAGCCTTGTGCATGCTGCTTCCATCTCTGTGAGTTCTGTGAGCTTTGATCATGTTGTTTAGAAAGTTTGTATTCTTAGTGTCCTCTGTCCCCTCTGGCTCTTACATTCATTCTGGCTTCTCCTCTTGAGAATACGCTAAGCTCTGAAGGGAGAGATTTAATGAAAATATCCCATTTAGAGCTGGATGTTCCTGGGTCTCTCATCCTCTTCTTCTCTGACTGTGGGTCACTTTATTTGTTCCCACCTGTTGTAATTACATCCATTTGTGAACCCTCCTTGTGGCTGGTTCCTCCATATAGTCAGAAATATGAAGCTGTGGAATCAGAGCTTGCCAGCCATCATCATCTTCAAATTTTCCTTGTCCTGTGACTTAAAACAGTTAAAAAATAAATAAAATGTGTTCACCCCACATAAAATAAAACCCTCAATCAAGATTCTACCTCTTATGGAGTCCCCAAGCCAATATGCAGCTATAGGAGACTGGAAGGTGTGAAAACAACCCATGACACTGTAAGAATCTCATTACTGGTACCATAGGGCAAGCTGCCACTCCACTGATCCACTTACTTCACTGCTGTGACTGTAGCTGAAGGTATTCTGTGGGTCATACAGTCGCTGCTTCATGGTGGTCAATGGCCATGTACAGCTACTTTTATGTCAACTTGACACAAGTTAGAGTTATCTGAAAGGCAGAAACCTCAACTGAGACAATGCCACCATAAGATCCAGCTGTAGGGCATTTTCTTGATTATCTATTAATGGAGGAGGGCTGAGCCCTTTGTGGGTGGTGTCATCCTTGGGCAGATGGTCCTGGGTTCTATGCAAAAGCAGGCTCAGCAGCCATGATGAGCAAGCCAGTAAACAGCATTCCTTTACAGCCTCTGCATCAGCTCATGCCTACAGGTTCCTGCCCCTTTTGAGTTCCTGTCCTGACTTCCTTCAGTGATGAACAGCAATATGGAAGTGTAAATCAAATAAACCCTTCCCTCCCCAAGTTGCTTTGGTTATGGTGTTTCATCACAGCAATAGAAACCCTAACTAAGACAGGCCATGCCATTCCTGAAGGAAATAGATCCACCACAAACCTGCATTGCTCCTCTGGTGCACAAATTCTCTCTATTCCTTCTTCAAAATGCTAATCTCATGACAATACACAGCAGCAGGTTATTCTCCCTCCAGTCTACCTTGGCAAGCATCCGCACATATAGAACAAAACCAGACTTCCCTTAGAGGGCAGGAGTTGAAACTCAGACCTTGTGGTTAAGAGCTCTCCACACACAACTCCTCAAGGGCCCTCTACTGGCTACTCTGCCTCTCTCTCCTCTGTCTCTCTGTCTCTCTTCTCTCTGTCTCTGTGTGTGTGTGTCTGTCTCTGTCTCTCTGTCTCTGTCTGTCTCCCTGTCTCTGCCTCACTCTGTCTCCTCTCTTCTCCCTGCAGATCAGAATGTAACTCTTAGCTATAGTTCCAGTGCCATGAGTGCCACTGAAAGGAAAAGTGTCAGCTCAGGATCCAACAGGCCAAGTTCTCAGCACAAAGCAAGTTTATTTGCCCCAGAGGGACAGAGGGCAGGGAATAAGGGACAAACACAGGAGATAGAGGACAAGGGAGAAGTGGAAGGGAACAAGGGAAAGGGGGCAGGGATATTTGTCCCAGAGTGAGACAAAGGACTGGCTCTGGATGGAGAAGACAGACAGACGAGCCACATAAGAAAATGGCAGTTTATAAAGGTACATGTTAGGATGAGGTGTTTAATTTTAATTAGACATGTTAATTAAGTGGGCCAAAGAGAGGTTGTGATTGTTGGACTTCAATACTTTGATAGCTGGTCCTTGGTAGTTAGCCTCAGGAGAAAGAAGTGACCAAATAAGGGAACAGACCTTGGTGGCTAGCTTTAAGAATGTAATCTAGTGGTTTTTAGCAAGGCAGAGAGAATGTGGGAGAAGGGCAAGGCCTGCCAGAGCCACACTCACCATTTGTGACCTGAACAGAGCCACCATGCTCCCTCCCCACCCCCACCATAATGATAATGGCTACCTCTCTAAAACTGTAAACAAGCCTCCAGTTCAATGCTTCCTTTTAAAAGATCTGCCTTGTTCATGGTGTCTCTTCACAGAAATATTAACAGGGACTAAGACAAATATGTGTCATATATCTATTACTATAAGCACTTAAACAGCATTTGGGACTAAATAGAAAGATCTATAAACACTACCACAGATAAAGATACAGAGTTCTTGGAAGGACAGGGGTTGGGGAGGACCTCACAAGTATGACTGTCCTTTACACAGAAGAAAAGAGCTCTGTGATGAAACATTTTTGCAGATATACGTTGTTGTTACTGATGAGTTCTCTAAAAGGATGTTTTCACAATCCATTTCTATGACCTAAGAAATGGATTTGAACTTTGTCGAGGGAGTTATGTAGTTGTTCTGCCTGGATTTGGTACTATGGGGAGCTTCTTTGTTGTTGAGAAATGTACATTCAGTTTGGCGGTAGATATTGAAAAGAAATCTACCTTCTTCTCATCCATCTGCATTTTATCAACATTCTAATGCTTTTTTCAAAAGTACTGCTCCAGACAATACAGGCTGCTTGTTTGAGAAGCTTCCTGGATGATGCAGGCAAAAGGATGTTGTTGACATGAACAGGGTGTCTTGGGGCTATTCTGCCCTAGCAGTTTCCTCTGAGTGGTTCAAGCCATCACCATGAGCTCCTGAGTCTCCAGGAGGAGAGGCTCAGGCTGAGTCTGCACAGCAGGTGCTTCTCTCGCTGCTCTTCCTTGGGATTCTCAATTCCTTCATCAGTATGAACCTCCTCCATTCCAACAGAAAAATCGGCACGAATACATCACACATGAGGAAGAGCGCTCAGTACTGCAGATTTCTAAAGAAAGGCAGATGGTGAAATGGACTTTCTTCACTCTCCAGCTCCTTCCTACTCTGAAGTGGGAGTGGAGGGGAGGTGTGGGACATACATATGGGCAGGAGTGAGAAAGAGAAGAGGAGCAGCAGGAGGGGACCAGCTTTAAAAGGAAATCCATATATATCCAGTCACAAAAATGGATTTCATGTAATTTACAAAATGATGCTGAGTTTAAATTTTATTCAAGTGTAAGGATACATAGCTATTTTCTTATTTTTTACTTTAAAACAAACAAAAACACCAAGTCTCACAAGTAGGAACTGATAGGCTTCAGAATTGTAATCCTCTTGACTCTGACTCCCAGGTGTTGGAATACAGAGGTATTCCATGTATTATGATCATCCATAAAACATAATTTCAGTCAGTAGAAGAGCATGCCAAATAACGGGTTAAAAGTGAAATGAATCCTTTCGATAATGTTGTTTGCTCTCCCCACACCTCTACTCTCAGTCAAGGAAGAGTCCTCTGCAGCACTGCACTGGGTCCACTGTGCTGGACACTGCTCCTATTTCCCAGGCCAAGGACAGAGAGGACATGTGATCCCACATGGCCTTTGGACCAGGGTGTGCAGATGCACTTATTCTCCACAATCTCCAATGGTATCTGAACATTTTCCCTGCACACCAGTTGGGATCTTTAGTCTTTCATTTCTGGTGCTCCTCAGCCTTTTAAAGAGAAGCTCTCTTGCCTTCTTTGCTATCTTTCTTTCTGCTTCCCAAACTAGATCCACGACGTGACAAAGTGCACCCATACAGAGAATTGAGTGAGAAACAGACTCAAGGACACGCAGTAAGACCAGCAGTAACTTTTATAAAACGGTTC